ACACACACACACACACACACACACACACACACACACACACACACACACACAGACACACACACACCCCTCTTGGAAGTAGTATATATATAATTTATTAATTTGTATATATTTGTTTCTATATACAAATTAAAAACAATATACAAGTTATAAACAAATATATATAGAAGTTTTTACCACATTTAGGGACTAATCACACATTCCAATCACACCTGTATATAGAAGATAAAAAACAATATACAAGTTAAAAATGTGTGTGTGTGTGTGTGTGTGTTTAACTGCATCAATTCATTTCTTTCTATTTGAACCATTATAGCAGGCTACACTGCTCACCATTTTGTATCAATTCGTTTCCTCCTCTCTTTTTTTGGGACAATCAGTGTGGCGATACCTGTGTCTGGGGTCCAAGCCCTCCTTTCAACTAGGGAGGAGACGGCCTTGGCTGGCTCCTTTCCTTCCTAGAGTGGTATTGCCTTTTTAAAAAATTCCCAATATTGCTGTCACCCGTCTCCTAGATTACAAGATTATTTAGCATAATCACAGATAAATAACTTGGGTGTGATACCCAGCACTCCACATATGCTCAAGAAACCATTTTGCACAAGTAATATGAAATGAGAGGCTTGGCCTACTGGATTAGCTTAACCAATGTAGCTCTAAAAGAATAGATCTTCACACAAGAGAAGTCTATCCTAAAAGAATAAGCTTTATTAAAAGGTAAAAAGGACGTCATAAGGGTAAAAGGCATTTAAATTCCAAAGATTACATTTCGGGGTTTTTAAGAAGAGCATAAAATCAGGCTACAGACAACTATAGGCTGAGAAATGCTGTTACAGTATTCTGCTAATTAAGGTTTTAGCAGGCAAGAATCCATTCTTGCCGGGCACTGTGCTTCCATACGAGGGACAAGAGTCAGTTCTGTCCATTTTTGGGTGCTTCTTCCCTCTTCTTTCTGGAGAGGAGCTTGCCTTCAGAATTCCTCCTGTATCTCTTTGAGTTCTCACTCTTTCTGTACCAGCTGCATACTTAAGCTGTCTCAGTTGTGGCAGCTTCCTCCTCTCATTCTGCGGGTTCACATGCTGTGTAAGGACCTGGGAACACGCAAGCTTCAAAAGAGGGTGCTGAAGTCCTGGTTGTTTACCAGAAAAGCTGCCTTAAGGTGTGAAATGAATGACTACTTGTATCCACACTTCAAGGCAGTCCCTGTCCTTCGATATGGCATCTGCTGTGGCATCTATGTGTAACTTTGTAATTTTTATGGCTGGCCATGTCTCTGGTGTGCTACCAACAGGGTAGCAGGGTGCATCAGAGTCTGTTTCTCCACAATCAGCCCCCCCTTGTCCCTTTAAAAAAAAAATCGCATGTTGATACTGGTACATATCAGTACAGAAATACAGTGGTATGAAGCTTCTTTTCTCCTCCCCTTTTCCCTTCCCTCCTTGATGCATATACAGTATTTTTCCCTTTTGAAAAGAATCAGGAGGAGGAAGTAAATAAATGCAACACTCTTTTCTTTACAATTCCAAGCAGGAAATCTGAAGCTTTCTTTCACCTGCAAGGGGGAAGGAAGGCTGTCTCCTTCTGAGCAATGTATTCATGTTTGTTTTTTGTGGCAGCAACACTTCTGTGGTGAATGATTAAATTGTCCAAAATCTGACAGCACCCATGTATTTTTACCATGGCATTCTATGGTGGTGCATGTGATGCTCAAATCTCCCTAAGGAGCATATGGTATTCAGGCAGGGAGTTCCACAGGCCACAAATCTACCACTTTATGCTGAGGCAAGTCCTTAACCTTCAGCAGTGCATAGCGTCTGTGCCTTGAACAAGCCTGACCTTTAAAGAACACTTTCCTTTACTCAGTACTTTGCAAGTATTTCAACATGGGCTTTGTGATTCCTTAGAACTCACAACAGCTCATTTAAATAGGACTTCTCTATGGTAGCTAATCAATGACCTTTTCCACTCTAGGATTTTTCGCCAAATCTTGCTGGTTCAAGAGACTAGTCCTCAGTTAGGATTTTTATAATTATTTTATATTAAGAAAATATAGTTTCATAGAAACAGTTTGTTTGCTTAATCATAGCATAACGACATGTTCAAAAGATCACCATAGTTAAATAAAACAATTACTCCCCATTAAAATAATAAACACTGAGAAGCTGAGCTAAGGTGGGCTAACCCCACCTCCTTCTTTCTTACCATGCTACATTCTGTACCATTCAATCCAACAAGTTACATACTCAATCCAACATGAACTTCTCTTAGGAAGAAAAAAGTCCTCCCAAACATAACCCATCATCCATTTTTCTATATTCCTTGGACCTTCTCCTTCATGGCTGTAAACCAATTAACTCAAAGAGGTGTAACTGCTCACTCTACCTCCAATTCTCATGGAGATGAAGGTGTGTTATCTCCATTCCAATTAGACGGGAATTTGTTGGGTCTTCACACTAGGCCTCTTCGACCGTGCACTCTTATCAGGATTCACTCTGTACCATCCTGGCTGTAAATTAGGAAAAACAGACTCTCCGTGTTTACCACATTCCCATGTCCTCAACTCCTTTCACTTTGGAAACCTGACTCCATTCTCTCTCCTTCTCATTGACTACAAGTCCCACTCTCCTTCAATATCATCACAGTGCACACTACATAATGCAAGGTAAGTCAACTGAATGATTTGGTGTGAGCATGCCTTGGCTTCTACAACTGTCTTAAAACTTCACTTGAACAAAAGCCATCAAGAATTGTGCAGTTGTTTCCTCTCTGCAATTCATGTGTGCCCCTTTTTATAAATACAGTTTAATGTTCTAACAACATTGTTTCCATTCTTAAAAATTGTAAGAAATTAACAAGCCAATATGTATAGTTATACAAATTATCAAAGCAATTCTACATAATACTGCAAAGGTCATCTGATTCATGTGACGCCCTTTAAGTTCCAGTGATTTTATGCCTGGATTTAAATCTCTGATGCTGTAGCCAGAATTTTTCTTAATGCATTGCAAATTTCTCTTTTTGAATCAGTATTCAAAAATACTGTATTCAAAACTACAGTATTCAAAAACACCTACACGCACTCCCAAAAATGGGTAAAAAAGACTTTGAGATGTAAAATATTTGAACATGGGCAAAAGCAAAACTGACAGATTCACCCATTCCTAGGTCCCATAGAAGGGTTGCCAGGTTTCAGGGTTTTGGCTTAAGCCTCAGGGAACTGCTGTGCTTCTTGAGGGTGCCAAGAGGGCAGGCAAATATAAAGGTAGGCAGAACTGGAAGAAAAGGAAGTCAGATTCCATTGTGCATGGTGGTTTTAATGGTTTGGGGTCCATCTTGTCCAACCAGGTGTCAGGGCTGACTGTCTCAGTGTAAAGATTGTTTTGTTTTGCATACGTAAGTTTTGTTAAGAGGTAGCGCAGGAAATCCATATGGCCTTATTTTCTGCCACACAAACATACTATGTTCAAGTGGCTACAGTTTTCCCTGCCCAATGACATCACAAGGGTCCAGCCTTATGATATCACAATGGTCCACTCCCTGGCCACAGGTTTTGACCCTAGAATCTCAAGGAAAAGGACACTGATGAATTGAGAAGTACTCAGAAATACCTAAGGTATTGTCATATATTTCTTTTGAAGGAAATGAGCTGAAAACTGTATGTCTTAATATTTTGTTGTGTATTCTGTGCTGTCAAGTTGGAGCTGATTTATAATGACCCTAATAGGGCTTTCAGGGTAAGAGAGGTATTTAAGGAATAGTTTTACCAGTTCCACTCCCCTAGTCAGTTTCCATGGTTGAGCAAGGGTTCGAACCCTTGTTTCTAGACTCCTAATCCATCACTTTATCTACTCTACCACACTGGGAATCATTGCTGGTATTTTATCCCCGCACCTTTATGTAAACCTGACTGTATTACTTTGGGGTTCTTCCTAAAGCATCAGCATCATCCAGTTCAGTGAACCCTTTTCTGTGTTGGAACACGACACTCATCACAACCCATTTTTTCTTTGCCCAGTGTGTGAAGGAATGTGGTTGTGTGAGTAGAGCTTTAGTTTCACAGTCTATAAAAAAAAGGAGAAATAAAGCCCAGCCTCCACTCCTAAGATTGTGTGGCGCTCGTGTGATATAGGACTTAAGGAATTGAACTGGGAACTTAGGAAAGCTGAATTCACTGGGCTACCTTGGAACAGCCCTACTTACGCAGCCTGGGTTACCTTGCACTGTTGTCATGAGGATAAAGTGGGGGGGAAAGAGATTCATGTGCATTGCCTTCAGATCATGAGGGAAAAGACAATGCAACCAGGAAATACTAAAATGAAGAGACAAATGTTGTGGTGATGCTCCTCTATCTGTGTCCTAAGAATAAGCCCCTTTGACCTTCAAGCACCTATGGAAGAATGCAGCTTATATCGTAAGGCACTTAGAATGGCAAGTAAATAACTGAGAATTCCGTTATGTCTGTATAATATTTTCTGTATGTGCTGAAACTACTTTATATACATTACCCCAGGATGCATGGCATGACAAAGTGGTGGCATATATTTTATTATTCAGAGCTTGGAAAAGTTGTTGTTGTTGCTGCTGGACTACAACTCAAAGAATCCTGGAGCAAGAAGATTCTAGGAGGTATAGCCCCCAAAAATGACCATTCCAAATGGTCAGATTCTTCTGCATGTTACTGAGAACTCAGAGGGGAGAGGAGAGTAACTCAGGAGGGCTACAGCCCTCCTGTCCTGCTTGTGGGCTTCCAAAAAGGATCACTGTTGGAACAGACTGATGGACTAGGCCAGTGATTCTCAAACTTTGGTCCCCAGATGTTCTTTGACTACAATTTACAGAAATCCTGGACAGCGCAGCTGATGGTGAAGGCTTCTGGGTTGTTGCAGTCCAAGAACATCTGGGTTACCCAAAATTGGGAACCACTGGACTAGACAAGCACTTAGTCTGATCCAGCAGAAGTCTTTGAAGGTTCTCATGCTTTCCTCCTTAACAACAACCTTCTGAGGTTGGTTAGGGTTAGTATTCCCATATTAGAAATAGAGAATTAAGGTTTAAGAAATCAGTGGCTTGCCTGAGGCTTTTTCACATCCAGTGAACTTTTTAGCTCCCTTTCTCCCTGATCTCCATTTTTCAAACTTCAGGGCATGGTGCACATTATCATTCATAGCCTTAGTTTACATGTAGCTAACATAGGTCAATTTATTTTGAAATCACTTTTTTATGGCTCTATTGAACTATTTGCCACATTATTTATACATTAATGCAATGGATCCCTCTGGATATCCCACCATCTAATAAATAATGTGACAAATCATTAAGCAGGGTGATAAAATCAGGCCATTTAAAAATACATCAACCTGTGTTGCCTTTCTGTAGAAAGAGCTCCAGGGGGCTATCACAAAGATGTACGCATTCAGAACTTGGTAAAACTTGGGTTATTGAGTAAAACAGTCTGGAAAAAGTGGATAATTCCTGTGAAAAGGGATTTTTTAAAAATGCACTTTTAAAGGGACCTATTTGCTGGTTTACAAGGTGCTGAAATTTCAGAACCAAGCTCCTCAAAACAGACCTTACTGAAAGTCCTTGATTAGAGCTGACAACACATTAAGGCTGCAGAGAGATGGCTGTGGTGGTTTGTCAGGTTTGCACAATCAGAATTCGAAGGAAGCCTGCGTTTAAACCCTGAAGACTAATCCCCAAGCCAAAGTGAATTGGATAGTCTGAGGGGCAAGGAAACTCCTGCCATGTCACTGAGAACAAAATGGCTTGTGGACCAGGTTAGGTACGCTTCCCACAAAAATTTCATAGTCAGCTTTTTGCCCCCACCCCATCAGGGACTATCATCTTCTCAGAGGCTTTTATTAGTTAAGGATTTCTCCCTTATAATGACAGACCAACTATAAGGTCTCCTTCGGCCTGAAAGGTTCCATAACCTTGTGGCATTATATGTCACAAGGACCTAACTCTAGATCTGGTTATTATTTATTACTGATATACTAACACAAGCTTAGCCCTTGGACATTACAAGCTGCAAATAACTAGTATTAATTCCATTCCCTAAGAATCAAGAGATCACATATGAATTTAACTCAGCAAAGGATAAGTTCACTTATTTTGTAGTCTAGCTGTAACTTTTGGGGTTACTTTTCCAGTCACGGAGCATGGCCTCACTGCATAGTAGAGAAGGTCCTGCCTCTGGTTCAAGCGCTGGTTGTTCCTACACCTTGTGCTGCTGCCTGGTTCTGGGTTTTAAGGTAACAATGACCTAGGAGGGAGGAGATGAGTTTACACCTCAGACTTGTGGCATTCAGATATTTTCTTAAAGAGTTACGAAAATTAAATACTTCAATTACCTTTGGGGGGAAAAAAGGAAAGCAAAGAGTAACATTTAAAAAACACAGTTATAATTAACTGTTTTTTGAGATCTTGGAACTATAACTCATTACTTTTGAAAGTACAGTAAGGTCTGAGCTTTTGCATGAACTGTTCTGTCTTACCCACTCTTGCCTCTTTAACAAGAAAGCCTTCAAGGGTGGAACCAGCAGCACAATGACAGTTCCTGTGGGAATACAGAAGGGAATACAGTTTTGTAAGGTGTCCACATTCCTTAAGGTGGCCATGAATCTTATGTCATACAGATAATAGGCCTCTGTTTGGAGGACTGCCAGAAGATCAGTCCTCTATTTGAAGATATCCTGTATCATTGGTTCCCAACCATGGGTTTCCAGATGTTCTTGGTCTACAGTTCCCAGAAATGCTGGCCAGCACAGTGAGCATTGAAGGCTTCTGGGAGTTTTAGGCCAAGAACATCTAGGGACCAAAAGTGGGGAATCACTGCTGGCTCTGAAAGGCTGCCTGATCCAATTTAGTCCAAAAATAAAGGACTGTAGGAAAGAAGAGCAGAGCCTTTGTATGCTTAGGAGTAAGCTGGCAATTCTGTATATAAATTAGGACTTGCTAGACAATGAGCCTATGCAATATGTATGCAGATGTCCTCTTTTCTTTTAGGCTTTCCAGGTTTTTGGCAAATTGTATGTGGCCAACGTTCCTTTTATTTCTCTTCCTGCACTGCACCGATGACATCCTAGCTGTGTCTTTTTAAGGTTGTTTGTGGGAACTGAATGAGATTTTTTTTCTTAGTTCTTGTTCTTAATTTCCTGGCTTATGGGATCCTTTCTTCTCCTACTACTCTGAATTATTGGTCTTTGGGACCACCTTCAGTTGGATCTGATGGTGGATCACCGAAATTGGTGCATTGGGTCACTAATGATAGTAACAGTAATACAAAAAATAAAAGGTGTAGAACTCTGTGCAATACAGCAGATAGGAAAGACTTCCCATAAACCCTCTGCTTCAGGAGGCTACGTTTCTCCCAACAGAAACATAGCAAAAAAGTAAATGTTCACAACAGCATGTGTCATGAATTAGATGTGGCAGCCTAGTGCAGGCGAGTGAGCAGGCCTGGGCATGTTTACCAAAGTGAAATAGATGTATTTGTGAAATGTGCCAAGTTATATGGGACACCGAGGGTGAAAACGTGCTAAGGGCTTAGCTAGGTGCCACCAAGAAATAATGGTAGGATTCTCAGCTTGGTTTCTTCTTCTTCCTGATACTGAGTACACGGCGTCGGAGATGAAAAAACTATGCATACAATGTGCTCTCTGTTTCTTGCCAGACACATAACTGGCTGTTGAATAATTACAGGAGAGAAGGGGAAGACTGAAAAACAAATCTTCATAGTGGCCTTCTTTTTCAGAAACAAAGAATTTTCTCCCAAAAATATCCTGAAAATGCCGAGGGTGAAAACATGCTAAGGGCTTAGCTAGGTGCCACCAAGAAATAATGGTAGGATTCTCAGCTTGGTTTCTTCTTCTTCCTGATACTGAGTACACGGCGTCGGAGATGAAAAAACTATGCATACAATGTGCTCTCTGTTTCTTGCCAGACACATAACTGGCTGTTGAATAATTACAGGAGAGAAGGGGAAGACTGAAAAACAAATCTTCATAGTGGCCTTCTTTTTCAGAAACAAAGAATTTTCTCCCAAAAATATCCTGAAAATGTGTGCCTCAGCTCTACTTTAAACCTGAGAATGGAACAGCAGAACAGGGAAAGTGACTTTTTAAAAGGACAAATACGATAACATCCTATAACTAAGTATTGTTAAGATGATATTTTGGCAGTATATCATTCTGCCTCTGGACCAGTCATGGAGGGCTTTAACGTATCATTTTGCTCATTCTTGTTAAAAGTCACTTTCCAGACATTGCTATAGAATACATTTCTCTTCAGATGGACATTTCTTTCTGATAACAGTGTTTAAAAAGCTGTTAAATATGTTGCCAAAAACATTTTACCAATTAACCAGGAGTTGCTTTTAAGTAGCAGGAAGAGAACAGAAGGAAACTACTGGTAGTTGACACTATTTGCAAATGTTGGCCATGTTAAGGGACTCTTAATTCCATGCAAGTTTCTGATATTAAAAATATATGCTGAAAAATGTGAGCTTTCATGGGTGACCCTTTCATCAGTGACTCAGTATCTAAAAGGATTTGCAGTTCAGCAGAAGTTACAGTAAAACATATATCATCCTCATCATCATGTGCCACCAAATCAATCCTGACTTACAGCAACCCTTTTCAGGGTTTCCCCAATGCCAAACTTGCCAATCCAGTTATTCTGGCTCAAGAGGTAGATAAATCCTTAAAGCATCTCTCTCCCTGTGTATTCGTGAAGGTTTTCACGGATGGGATATAATGGTTGTTGTGGGTTTTTCGGGCTCTTAGGCCATGTTCTGAAGGTTGTTCTTCCTAGCGTTTCACCAGTCTCTGTGGCTGGCATCTTCAGAGGACTGGAGTAGGAATTCTGTCCATGGTCTTTTGGATGTGAAATATAACAAATACGTTCATCTAGCCAATAAGGGAGGGAGGGCTACACTGTGAAAGATAGTGAATGTAGAACTCTCTACAGGAATTATACATGCTAGCCCTGTAAGCACACTTAGAAGGGAATGCTTAGCTTCTTTCCTCTCTGTTGCCCCTTTCTTCATCATTTCAAGCAGGACCTTGCTCTTCCTTGGATCTTGTACCCAAACTGTGAAGATTGCAACAATGCTAGAGGAGGCTAGGTGCTCCCTTCTCTGTGCGTTCATAGTACTGGCCTTCATAACACATGAATAGGGTTTCTGTGCCAGGAAACGTTTGGTTCTGCCACAGCGTTTTTTGGCTGTCATTTGGCTGAAATCCTATGGTGACATGTGGGAGTGAGCTCCATTGAGCTCAGTGGGAGTTTATTCTGAGTAGCAGTCTGTCAGCTTCGCACTGTGAAATGTGCAGAGTTTTCTGATTGAAGAAATACACACAAGCTCCTCTTCTACAAAAAGACACGTGTATTAACAAATATGTACAAATATACAAACTGGCAGAGCTTCGGCGTAGCAGGCAAAAATATAGACAAAGTGGCATAGAGAGGATAGTACCAGAGGAAAGAAGGAGAAGATACATTAATGTCCACACTGTTCCCTTATATACAGTTACACTGCTCCTTCTGTCCAATCACTGGAAGTATTGCATCATCTTCCTCCACATGGGAGTCACCTCTTCTCCAGGCATTGCATCATCTTCTCCTTTGTCACAGTGACTCAGCAGTCACACAGCTGTTCGTTATGGCAGCTCATTAATGTTACATTCAATAACTGTTCAGGCCTATAAAATTTACAATATCTTGACACAGTCATGTATAGTATGGTTCTACGAACTAGGTGCAAGAGAGAGCATGGAAAACAGTGCACATAGGATAGTCAGCTACACGAGAAAGAACATACAAAATAAAGAAGAATGGCAAAATAAAGAATGCCTATGATCAAACGGGAAGAAACAAAGGAGACAGAATAATGGTTGTTGTAGGTTTTTTGGGCGATGATCAAATGGGAAGAAACAAAGGAGATAGAGTAATGGTTGTTGTAGGTTTTTTGGGCTGGTTGGCTTTGTTCTGAAAGGGCCAAACAGATAGAGTAACTTGATCCAGAATGGGGTACAGGAGCCTACAAACCTGGCGAGTGTTGCTGTACAGTAGCCCACATTATCCTGGTCCATTGCCCATGCTGTCTGGGAATACTGGAATGGGAACTGGAATCCAACAGCATCCAGAGAGCCATGGCAGTGGCATAGCTTGGGTTACCAGTACCCGGAGCAGAGCAAGTATTGCACCCCCTCAATGCTGCTTGGAAAGCAGCAGGGGAGTGATGCTTGGTGCCGGTGTTTAAGCCGAGGGAGGGAGGCTAGGCTGCTCCAGGCTGCCTTCGCCAAGGAGGCAGGTCCACTTGGCCATCACCAAACCCTCCCACCGCCTGCCTGGAGGGAGCAGCAGAGCAAGTGAGGCAGCTGCATTCAGAAGAAGGGAGGCAAGCCTCATGCACTTCCTCGCCCACTGTGCACTCCACCCTACCCAATGGCTCCGTGGCAGGGCTGAAATTTTGCATCCCTAAGAAGTTTGTGCCCAGGGCAATGGCCCCTGTAGCTTCTCCCACACTACGCCAGTGCCACAGGTCCCCTTGAGCAGATGTCACAGAGGAGTCTGTCTCGGACTGGAGGTTGAAAACAGGCACTGTTACTCAGAAGTATGAGGAAAAGGGTTGTAATCCACAAAAGTTCACACTGTTCATTGTGAAATAAAAGCAGTTCCTCTTGAAAGATGGAATAATGCTTTGTTTTCTGTTTTGTTCTGTTTTTAATGTGCGTGAGGAAACAGGTGGACCCAGCTACTTATTTGAAGATAACCTAACCCTTGTTACCTTTACATATGTCTTTCATTGCTTTTCTCCTTCAGAGCTCCTGCATATGAGGCATTTGTTCCACAAAACCACATTAATGCCCAGAGACTCTGGTTTATCACCATCCAGATGTCATAAGGCTTGTCAAGGTATAACAAGTGACAAACAGTGATAGAAGCTAAGATTTTCTGTTGTAAAACATTCCTCCTGTAAAGCAAGGTTTGTTTCTTTTCCAAGATTATCCAGGAGAGTGGGGTTTAGTACTGTGGTGCTCTTGTGATCGCCTCTGAGTTGAGAGGCAGTCAGAATCATTCTCTGATTTTCAACTTCAGATCCTAATGTAACCCTGCCTGCCCTCAAATAACTGCTGTGTTCTGAAGGCAAAGGGACCCTTGGGGTCAAATATGCTCACCTGGAAGAGCCCTTACTGAACGGCTGACACTCCGATTCCAGGCCCATTGATCCAGGAGTCTGCTGTTTGCGTTGATGGCATAATCATCCCCCTGATCATCCTCATCCTTCCCATCCTTTTTCTGAACCTTTGTGTGTTAAAACATAGCCCGGGACAGAGGCATGCATAACTAATGTCCCAAGAGATGCTGTGCAGAGACTATGCAGCAAAATCACTGTAGCTGATTCTGATTCATGCCCTTCCAGCCTCACTGCAGCAACAACAGCAGCACTGAGAGGATCTGAGATGGATAAGAATATAACTTGAACAGTTTCACACGATAGGCAAAGTTTGCTGAGGCAGTGTACAGGGTGACGTTCCAAGTGTACCCGTTTTCCAATCAGCAATCCGCTCCCTTTCATTATGTTTACAAGAGCATAGGGGAAATCCCATCAATGTCCACATTATATTTCATTATGCAAAAATAAAGTCTTGTGGGTTTGCTGCCTGTGAACGTTGGCAGGTATGAAAGGAGTTTAATAGGAAGTGGCTCTCAATGAAATATTTTCTGGATTTCTTTCTCTCTCTTTTATTGTACCCTCTGTTACATGCGGGGGAGGGGGGAGGATCAACTTCATCCCACTCAAGATTTCAAAACAGGTGCAAGTACTTTACAAAAAAAATCCCCAGACATACTGGCCCCTCAACAGTGCTTGCGTAGCTGTTCCATGTCTCTACTATCTTATCCATCATCTGTAGCTTCAGCTTTGCTCATTTTTTTCAATCTATTCATGAGCAAGATCAGCTATGCCATAGCTGAGCTGCAATGCCATTCACTGCAAGCCTCATGCTCTGCGCCTCTGTAAGTTAATGAGTAGTAGTGAATTAGGAAGTGTTGTAATGGTTGTAAAACATCCTTTCATCCCAGATCTTTCTTTTTCGTATCAGTGTGTTGCACAATTTAAAATTGTGGACGTATATAAAAATTAAAAACAAATTACAAGGTTAATTAGACTGTTTTGACCAGAAGCGAGCTATTTCAATAGTGTTATCTTGGCCATTTACTAGATCTTCTTTTGACACATGGTGGGACATAAGTTGCATGTACGTATTTGCTTCATTGATTGAATTTCTCCACAGTCAGAGACTCTTTGTCCTACAGTACACCCACATAGCCCCATTTTACTTGGTTGTTTGTCCTACACCCACATAGCCCCATTTTACTTGGTTATTCTTTGATCTTCCTTCTTTGATTTGAAATCTATTAAGTGACTTCCAGATGGTACAGCTAGAATCTTGTCCTGGTGGGAGGCAGTCTTTGGCATTCATCCATTTGGCAAGGTATGGTGATTTTTACGGTCCATAGGTTTTGCCTAGTCTCTTCTGGTTTAATATTTAAAATAAAATAATAAAATAAAAATAATAATAATATTTAGAGCACGAGATGCACGCAGAAAACCTCAGACTACAATACACACCTGCAGTATCCATTGAGGTATACAAAGGAAGCAAAGGGATGCTCTCAGGGATACTATTGAGAATGGAGACAAGCTTATCTTAATTACACCAGTTACTGACGAAGAGTGGCATATGTCCATCTGATCTCCCCTTTCTTACAGCCTCATCCTCTGTATACATATATTCAGAAGGAAGTCCTGCTTAGTTTAATTTGGCTTACTCCAGGACAGCTCCAAACAAAACTCTCCCCTTAGGGTGTGGTTAGACTATTGAAATAAATCAGAGCTGGATTGCTGGGGTTGACGTTGGTTTGAAATCATGTGGTAGTCACGTGGTTTGGGAGTTGCTATGTGTGTCCTCTTAGGACAATTTTTAATCTGGGTATAAGATCTGTGGTATATCAGTTGAGGAGACTACACAAGCTTTTAAACATTATTTTAAAATTGGTACTACAGGGGCTCCAGTTTCCTGCATTTCACCCTCCTGAGGCTAGGCATTCATGGAGTGAAATGTCTGCACAAAAAGAACTAAACTAAAACCCTGTGCTGTCATAGCTACAGGGGAGATGCCCTGATTGCTGGCATATTGTCCTGGAACAACTTTTGAGGGTTGTTTTTTTCTTGCACCCACCCATCCTTGCACTGGCTGCCCCTCACAGCCACTCGCCACTGCCACCAATGCCATTGAGGTGACATGGCTGGCAGGGGAAAAAAACTTATGTGGTGCAGTTTTAATATTTGCTTGCTTGCTTGCTTGCTTGCTTGCTTGCTTGCTTGCTTGCTTGCTTGCTTTATCTATCTATCTATCTATCTATCTATCTATCTATCTATCTATCTATCTATCTATCTATCTATCTATCTATCTATCTATCTATCTATCTATCTATCTATCTATCTATCTATTTATAAATAACTGGGATAGCCCTAGATCAATATTACAGATAAATAATCATATAAAACAGATTGAACTTCAAGGTTACCCTGCAGCCCGGAAACCTGCAGTCCTGGCATCCAGTCCAATATTTGACAAACCCTACAGACACATTTTTTCTGGATATTTTAAAATCAATTTCAAGTGTGCTAGACCTGGAGTACACCCAGGAGTATTTTGATGTGTAACTGCACCCTTAGAGTGTGACTACACTGGAACAATGAATTGGGAGGAGTTGGCTTTGCTTCAATTTGCTTTGAAGCTTGTATTGTGTTTAAATTCGTATTCAGCATTTGAACGGGGTAGTTCAGTGGTTTCACTAGATACATTGCAATTGGTGTTACAGCCCACAGTGTGAAGGCAAGAGGAGAAGGGGACTTATTATTATTTATTATTTTATTTTTATTTATTCGATTTATATCCCGCCTATCTAGTCGGTTAAGACCACTCTAGGCGGCTACCAACATGAATTTGACACAAATCCAGGAGTCAGTGGAAGACAGGAGGGCTTGGTGTGCTCTGGTCCATGGGGTCACGAAGAGTCGGACATGACTAAATGATTAAACAACAAAAATCATCTTAAAAGTGCAGAGCTGGAAGGGAGCCTATGGATCATTTAGTTCAGCCCCTGTCAAGCAAGAATAGTGGGGAATACAACCCCCAACCTCTGGCTCCACATACTTAACCCACTGAGCTATCCAGCAGTTCTTATGCTGGAGAAAGAGAAAGACAGACAGACAGACAGACACACAGGCAGGCAGGCAGGCAGGCAGAGAGATAGATAGATAGATAGATAGATAGATAGATATACCCTAAAATAATTCCTGACTGATGCCAGTAAGAACAAGTTTTCTGATGTGTCAGCCATCTTGTGCATCAATGGAATAAGCCAGTCAGAGTTGATCCTCCCGGCTTGCCTCTGGCTCTTACAGATGAGGTAATGTGCTCGCCTTGTATGACAAGGAGATGGTTATTAAACTAATAATTATAATTAACCCTAAACAATTATCTTAATACATTTACTTGTAGAAAACAAGCTTTCAAAATAGGGCTATTCCATTAGCCTGCTTTGAAGGAGATGTTTTTTAATGGCTCAGCCTCTCAGAAAGTGTATTCAAGACACCATGACTTTCCTAAGTGCTATTTACTTCACAGTCCAACCCAACAAGAATAGACCTGACAGAAGGCTGGATGTTTTAAGGAGTTTCAGGATTTGGATGGCCAACTTCTGCACTTCCATAAGCCGACATACTCTCTAGACAAGTCTTCCCTCATCTGGGCCCCTCTCCCTGTGACAAACAGCCACTCCCATCATCCTCAGCCAGCAGTTGCCATACTGAGGAGCAGAGCTGTATCCATACTGAGGAGCAAAACTGTAATTTGGGCACCTGAAGCATTTGGCACTGTTTCCTACCCACTTCACTCTGACACGTGGGGATGAGTCCCCCCCCCCAAGGGAGGTGGAGGAGGAGAAGAATGTGGTGCCCTCCCCAAAAAGAAAGAAAAATGTTGCTATTTATTTTCCCAACACTCACCAGTAGATTCACCTCTGCTTTCTGGAATTCTCTAAACTTTGGTGCCTTAGGAGAGGCCTCAGTTGTTCCTCTTTAGTTAGTGCGCTTCCAGTGAGGAATAATATGGGGTCGTGGTCCATCACATCTAAAGGGTGCAAGGTTGGTTGGTTGGTTTCATTTCTAGTCACTCTTTTCCCAGTGAAGGGAGCCAAGGTGGCTCACAATGATTAACGCGCATTACAGTAACACCACAATACATGAAGATAGATCCACAATAATTTATAGAGTTAAAAAAAACAGTTAAGTATATAATAATTATTTAAAGTTAAACATTTTTTTAAAAGCACTTAAAGAGAATATTTGACCAGCATCCAAGAGAGACTCGGTTACTAAGAGCCTGCCTAAAGAGGCAAATCTTGGTTGCTGAAAGGGTAAAATGGAAGGGGCCACATTTTCTGTGGGAGGGCATTCCACAACTTGGAAGCTGATAAAGAGAAGGCCCTCTCTCATGTTCCCACTAAATGTGCCTGTAAGGGCAATGGGACTGAGAGAAGGGCCTCATCTGATGATCTGAGGGGGCGGGAGGTATTATATGGGGCAATGTGGTCCTTCAGATAGCTTGGAACTTAGCTGCATAGGGCTTTCTAGGTCATCACTTTGAATTGAGCCGAGACACAAAACGGTAGCCAGCTGAGCTGCTGTAGCAGGGCAATTATATGCTCCCTGTAAGCGGCCCTGATTGGCAGACTGGCAGCAGCAGTTTGGACCAGCTGAAGTTTCAGACCATCTTGAAAGGCAGCACTACAAACAGCATGTTATAGTAATCTAAGTGGGATATGCCATTGACTCACTGTAGCCAAATCAGACATCTGCACTTTAACTGTGTAAATGCACTCCTAACCACCACCCATACCTGGGTATCAGGAATGAATCCAGGACTACACCCTTACATTCCTGAGTGTGAATGTAACTCTATCCAGCCCAGGTTGAATCCCCATTCCCCCAGCTGCCTTTCGATTGACCAGGAGCACATCTCTCTTGTCTGGATTAAGTTTCAATTTGCTTGCCCTCATCCAGCCCATTTCTGACCAGGCACCAGTTCAAAATGGCTGCTGTGAAGCAGGTAAATAAATAGCTGGTGGAAGTCATCCAACCCAAAGGAATTTGGCTCTCTGCAAAGCTTCCTACAAACTTGGCACTGCTAGTCAAACAAGGGAGAGCAAAGTGGTGATTTAGGTTATGCCATAAAGTTTCAGTGGCTGAAGCACGAGGATGTTGTGACACAACCCTTTTTTGTTGTTACAGTTTTCTATCATTCATATTCTCTGAAAACATGCCTGCAGCACACCCTCAACCAGAAGCCACATATAACCCAGAAAGAAAACAAAACAGAAAACAAGCCTCAAGAATATAATTTTGGATAATCTCAACATGTTTTTGGAGACAGGCTTAGGTGGTGGTGGTTTCGGACCATAGGAGAACAGCCCTGCTGCAGACGAGACTGAATTTCCTTTGGAATGTTTCTGGACAAAACAAATTGCTGCCGTCTACTATGCATCCAGCTTTAGGGCATGTGAAATAGAAGGCCCTTTTGTAGGTCTGTCTCACCAGCAAGCCATGAATGATATTTCTCCCTATATTCTACACCAAGGATGGAAAGGATACGCAAAACATTTCTCATTGTTGGTGGTTTCCTGAGTCTTGCAGTGCTGCGATGCCTTGCCAAAACTTCCTTCTGAACCAACGGGATTTCCCAGATCATTCTTGTAAAGCGAGATGCCAGTCCCCCTTCACCTCCCTTTTTTCATTCCTGCCTGCTCATTTGAGTGAGACATTGTCACATTCTGTGCAACACAAGGACCTGTCTTGTGCAGGAAATTGTTAAAAAACATCTACATATATTAGTGTTTCTTCCAGGAACAAATGCCAGTGAAACATCCAAGAAATTGCATGAGATTTATTTTTGGTGGAGGGATAGAAAACTACCTTGCATTGGGGGGGGGGAATCTGTGCATGGAAAAAGGAGAGGGCAAGAAGAGTCTGATGATTTCTCTCTCAGCAGTAAAGGCTATAGATTCACATCCCAATTCTGCACACAAATTTTGATCCATCTTCTAAATAACAATGACCTAGTATTGGCCTGTTCTCCTCCACTCTTACTCCCTAACACCTGATTGGATAAGAATTTGCAATAAAACCTTTGTGTACCTGGAAAGTTGTATTGCACAAACCAAATCAGGGCCAGCCCAACTCTTAGTCACCTTGAGGAGGCTTCCTCAAGTGGCTGAGTACTAAAGGAAGCAGACATTCTGCAACCAGCTGTGTGAATAATGCCTTGGCCCCAAGACTCTTCACACAGATGGCCCAGAAATGCTCAGGGTATGCATGACGTTGCCATCA